GAATAAAGTAGTGCCACTAAATTACACTCACCCTGAATTCTTCCAAAGGTAGTGGTTAAAAAGGTATTGACATTTTAAGCATTTTTTGTTTGTTTATGGCTGTTCTGGGAAATCTGAACAGTGGTCAATCTGAGATCCTAGACTCAGCTGCAGAGGATTTGGGAATCTACTAAAATTCTGTGCAAAGCTGCATGCATATGTAGATCTGTCTGACTATAGGGTTCCCAGCTTTCACATACAGGTGTTCATGACATTAAAGAAGGTAAGGGGGAGTGCAATTCAAGACTCAGAAACCGTTAAAAAGGGGAATAGATAAAAATAAATAGCATTTTGCTAGCCTACACAATTTTCAACATCATACCTGTGGCAAATATTCCCACGTATTTTTTTAAAAATTTCATTATTTAAAATTTAAATATTTTTAATTTTTAAAAGTGTTTTAATTTTGTCATATCAGGAAGATGTTTTTTGTTTTTAAATAACTTAAGGGGAAACAACATATTGACATTTTTTTAAAGAACAAGTTTCTCCATAACTTAAATCACAGGCATTTCAAAGCCTTTATATTAAGGGCTGGGATAGGCTTAATAATTCATGCTTGCTCTGTTTCTCATGAGTAATGTGGTCACTTTAAATTAATGCTAATAAAATGAGTGTAGTACATCATCACAGACATGTGAAAAGCACAATACGCATATTATATATACAACAAGAATAAACTGGCAAGAATGACTATTTAACAAATCCTTTGAAGAATACAAACACAACTCAGGACTTCAAAAACAGAATATTACGTTAAATGGGATGGCCTTTGGGAAAACGACCCCACAGATAACCATCTCAAGCTCTTGGGGTCCATTTCTGCCTTGCCACTCCTCTACCATCTTAGATTAAATCTCACCCTCAGCAGCTCTTTCAGGTACCATACGGTATCAGAAAAACCCATTGTCAGCCACGTTAGAACAACAAAGCTAGTCAATCTGATGAAGACAAAGAATGGTACTCTGTTTCACAGTCAATAAAATGCGAGTATTTTAATATTTAAAAGTTACAGAATTTAAGAAAATCCCAGATAGCTAGTAACATGGGAGTAGTTAACTAGTAGAAGAGACTGCACTAGAAATGCCTCAGGGGAACACAAGATGGGGCTGAAATCCTAGCGAAGAAATTCTGACTATAAAGTGTGAAAAAGTTCCAGGAAAAGCCAAGTTTCAATTTTACCTTGTGTTGGATTTCTTACAATAGTAGCTAAAACAAAAATTTAAGGGGAAAATAAAATCATGATTTAAAATACGTTACCAAAAAGATTTTGTTCTAGATCACAGCTATGATAAATTATAGCTTTAAAGTCATACAGTATTTTTAAAACAAGAGTATATAAGCGTAAGAACTTTTAAAATGTCAATGAAGACCATCCTGCTATACTTCCCAAGGTAAAAAAAGTTTCACGAAGCGATGTGTTTTACATTGCTATAAGAATTTATACAAGCAAAGACGTTTTGTTCTTCTCCAGAGATTAAAATGTACTTCACAAATATATGTTGAATGTTTTAAAAACCAATATGATGACAACAACGACAAAAAAAAAAAGAAAAAAAAGAGTGGCTGTTGAGGTTGCTCATGTTCAACCAAACACCTCATGGGATTTGGTTCCTTGGTTTAGATAGATGTTTAGGGTCATGGTTTCATGGGACATCCCAGTTAACTGGCCTAATAACATGTTTAGTGCTTCTGTTCTACCTCTTAGTTCGTTGTGTAGTGCCTGGGGTCTTAAACGCTTGCAAGCAACCATGCAAGGCATAACAATTAGTCTATACCCACCTGGAACAATAGAGGAAGGAGAGTCAGGAATAGGAGGAGGATATGGAATTTGTGGTCAACTGCCTCTACGAACAACTGTCTCCTTTACCATGAGACCAGAGCTGGATGGTGCCAGGCTATCATTACTGAACATTTTGATCAAAGATTCCCTAGGAGAATCCTGCTCTAAAGGGGAAAAATGCAGAACAGAATTTCAAATTCTCATGGACTCCAAACTTTCTGGGGCCACGGAGGGAGCAAGAATGCCTGAAACTATTGCCCTGAGATACTCTTTAAACCTTAAACCAAAAATATCCCCTGAAGTCATCTTAAAACCAAACAACAGTAAAAAAGGTCTGCTTTGAGCACAATGCTCTTTTAAGAACTACCTATATAGGATCAAAGTGACAACAGCAACTCAAAAATTAGATAAGAACCTTAGGGGGCAGCGAGTTTATGTTAATGATGGAGGAACAACTCAGAAAAAGAAAATGTGAATGGTTGCACAACTCAAAGAATGTAATAAATGTCACTAAATTATGCTTGTAGTAACTGTTGAATTGGTGTATGTTTTGCTGTGTATATGAGGTAATTATACATGAAACAAATAAAATTTAATTATACATGAAACAAATAAAATTTAGAAAAAAAATTAAATATCTTTTAGAACAAGATGGAAATGCATAGGTAAATATAGTACTAAAGGCTAATTTCTATTTTTCATGGAAATTACTTGTTTTATAAAATTATAACAATTTTGTTAAAATTAAAAAAAAAAAAAAAACCCAATATGGACAACAACCCACAGAACCAGAGAAAACATATTCAAATTATATGTTTGATAAAGGGCTTGTATTATGAGAAATGCTTAGATTTCTACTATCAGCGATGAAAGAAAGTTTGACAAGCAAAACAGTTTTGCTATGTAAGGAAACGGGCTGAGGATTTAAGAATGGACCTCCAATCCATTCTATATAAATCAGCCAGTGCAGTACTTCATATAAACAAACCTGATCATGCCACTCCTTAACTGAAACCTTATAATGGCCCCACCTGTTTTTAGGATAACATTCAAACTCCTTGGCAGGGCATATAAAGCCAACTCCAAACTCTGCTTATTTCTCCGACCTCATCTCTTGCTACTCCTTCTCCAGATAGCTAGCCTCACTTTTCCTGCCCTGATTGGGACTCCTGGACATGTTTCTCTTCACCTATGACCCTCTGGTCAAAACTGAGTCCATCTCCAATGGTCCACTCTGTATCTGATAAATACTTGCCTATCTCACAGCTTTTTCACACTGTGCCTGTCTTGCGTCACTATACTCTACAAACCTTAAACACATAATTACATCTTATTCATGCTTAAAGCAAGGAAAAAACCTAAATCGATGAGGAAGGAGGGTATAAATCACCTCTTTATCTCCATCATCCATTGTAATTCCTGGAGCAGGGGCATTTGAGTTGGGTAATATTCCAAAAGGAAGAAACAGAGGTGGTGGCAAACAAAGAGGCAGGGGAAGAGTTAAAGGTAGACCCTAAAATTTTGGGCCTAGAATAGTTTGAAGAACAGAAGGCCCTTACAGAAGGGAGATTTGAGGAAGACTTGGTAAGCGAAAAGGGAGAAGATGAACTTGGTTTTAGAAATATTCTGTATGGCATGTTGGCAAATAACATGATTTCATCTGTCCCCAAACTGGCTTAATAAAATAATATATGAAAAAATAAATTATTGTTTAAAGTAAGGTATAAAATGAAACCAAGAGAAAACTAACCAAACTTTACTTTAAAAATTCAAATACTTTTCTTCTTGCAAATATTCTGAGTTTTAATTCTGGGTACAAAAGTATAAATTGAATTGTTGTACCTAAAACATCAAGTTTTACTACATGCCATCTATAACACCCTCTGAGGTTCGTCCATCACACTAGCTTTATTCTTCATCCACTATTATCTATTAAACTTTCATCATTTAAAAAGAAAATACACTCCTAGTCCCTAGCATTTGCTTCTTCTAATACGTAGAAAAACTATTAGCAAATGATTAATGCAGACATTTAAGTACCTTTTCATTAAGAAACAATCTGCTGTTGCCCAGCTTAATAATAATAAAATATATAATAATCATTTAAAAAATATTGGCATAGGAGGTAAAGAAAAATGGCATACACCTAATAATAGTATCAATACTTTCAAGCATGGGCAACAGTGGTACAGTCAGGGCTGTACTGGTACTATAAAGAATACTAAAACCACTAATGAACAAGATGACAATCAAAAAAAGTAGTTAATATATTTTTTAAATATCACCTTAGATGATTTTCAATCATCAACAACAAAAAAAAAGAAAAAAAATCCAAACCTGTTGCCGTGGAGTCAATTCCAACTCATAGTGACCCTACAGGACAGAGCAGAACTGCCCCACAGGGTTTTCAAGGAGTGGCTGGTGGATCTGAACTGCTGACCTTTTGGTTAGCAGCCAAGTTCTTAACCAGTGTGCCACCAGGGTTACATACATAGAACAGCAACTATTTAAGGATTTCTAAGGCTTTTCCCAGTTTAAATAATCTCCCACAGGACCAAAATATTTCAACATCATCTTTTTAGTTCACTTTTTTTTGCACCCATGAGGAGGTTTTTAATGAAATACAAGTAAAAAAACTGGACCTCTATTAACACTGTTTTATTCCATAGGAATAAGATGGGTATTTCCAAAAAATAATGGTTTGAGCACGATACAATCAATTCTAGCAAAATGCTATGGGATTTAGTGTAAAATCATGCTAGAATGAAGCTTATTCTGAGAAGATCAGAGCTGGAGTTTTTTTTTTTTTTTTTTTTTGCAATGAATTTTTTACTAAATTTCTCTGGGCATTTAAACTTCCTTAATAATTGTCCGAAAGCTTTGAACTTTAACAGTACCAAAAAATTAACAAAGAAGTTCTGATGTCAAACTCCTTTCTTCTAACAATGCTATCTACAGTCACACTGAGATGCTGTGGAAATATTGGGTGGGTCTACTCTTCTATTAGTGGCAACTCAAATCACAGGCTCCAACATGAGTATTGTCATCATCATCATCTCATGGGAGATAATAGCACATGACTAATAACTGCCTGTAGAACCAGAAAAATGTCAATCTTAAACACACAAAAATCAATTTATCTTAACTTTCTTGATATTTTTCTCATGGTTTTGGTTACCTCTTCTTTTAGTGCATGCTTCCTCTGTTCCAAACAGATTTCTTTAGCTCTCATCAACTGCAAAGTCTCCTTAGAAACTGCATACTGGAGTTTTTCCATACGTTCAGCAGCTGCTGCCCATGATGCTTTACCAAATTTCTTCTGATCTGCTCGCATTCGATCGTACACAGCTATTAATAATAATTTTTTTAAAGAGACATTAAGAAACAACTTGACACTAAAGGCTTTGAAAATCTTAGATTCATGACTATACACTCAAACATACAAACTCTATTCCTATGATAAATTAATTACCTACACCATCTCTAAAACATAATTCAACCATATGTTAGACTCTAATGTCCTTAGTAAGAATTTTAAATAATCATTTTCAGAAATAATTTTCTGAACATGAAACTGAGTTATCAAGTTAATTTTTTAAAAATATTTTTTAAAAAACTCTTCCATATGTCCAGTATTATTAACTTTTAAAGATTCTATACAAACTCGATTCTGTGTAAGTATATACTTTCTACTGGATATGTCTGTTGAAATTGGAGCCATTAACTATTGAAACTTATTTAAATCCATTTCTAAGTTTTATCATTCTGAGTTGTCTAAAAATACTGTAATGACTTGTTATGGGGAGAGGAAAATCTAGCGCTATGGGATTTACTGTAAAACCATGCTAGTGTGGAGCTTACTCTGAGGTCCGAGTTGGAGTGGTACAACAAAGTCCCAAAGAAGATACATCTCCCCACAAATAAATAAATAAGAAGGGAGAAGGGAGGATTTTGTCACAATACAGCCCTTATTCAAAAGATAATCTTGACAGTCGAACAGCTAGTATCTTTCAGTTAAAGAAGTTTACCACTAACAGTGGTATGGTACTGGCTCACCCTAGGTCCTTATTGATTAACACAACCATCCTTATGCCAAACCATTCCAGAGTACTTTAACAGGTTATAAACACACTTTAAGTAAGAAGAGCTAGAAAACTTGATTAGCACCGAATGTAATAATCTTTAAGTCAGTACACATTCACTAGTAGTTTCTTTTATATGGTCAGTGGTAAGTGATAGGTAATTTTGTACTGTTACTTTGTCTAAACCATCTTTTCCAAGAAAATAACCTCAGTACTTTTGCTTCAGATTTTTATGGAATCTTTATATAATTTTTTTACAGTAATACCTGCACATGCTTAAAAATTAAAATTGCACAGACAAGCTAAAAACAAAACAGAAAACAGTAGTTCCACACCCTCAGCTCTTCCTAGCCTAAATGTAACCAACTTTCTATCACTTCTGGTGGTTACCTCCATAAGTGAATATTGTTATTTCTTGATTTATTATCTTTAAAAATTATCTACTGATTTCCTATTATGACAGATAAGGAATTTGCATACTTAGACTCCCCACTCCCAATATAGTTACACTGTTTCTTTTGGTTTCTCTGTCAGTTTTTTTTTTTCTTTCTTTTTTTGAGGGGGTAACCTTTAAATGCTAACATATTAAGAGATAATAAAATATAAAAAGATAATGTTTTAAATTTATAATCTCTCTTTGAACCTCAATTTTAGGGTTTTCAACAAATAATTAAAAATCTACTCATGTTAGCTGAATATCAAACATAATTCTTTCAGTTTTCATTTCTTCCCCTCTTTTTAAAACTGTATTATAAGATCAATGCAATCATAAGATCAATACAGTAGAGCACTATAGGAGAAAAATAGCAAGGGCTCTGGAGTTATATAACTTTAACTTACATTTGAGTTCCACCCATAACTAGTACATAACTTTTGGCAAGAAACTTAACCACTCTTGGGCTCAATTTCCTTCTCTGTAAAAAGAAAACAATCACAGTGCCTAGCTAGAAGGGTATTCAAATACCTCTCCCACTTCACATGGCATCATTAACTCAACAGACTGCCTGTTTTGTCTCGTTTCTTCTCTCTCTCATGTATGCACCACAATCCCTCAGATTTACATAACACTGTATTAATTTCAAAGCACTTTTCCATACATTATCTCTATTTATCTGTTCAACAAACCTACAGAATAGGCAAGGTATGCATTATCAACATCTTCTGTATAGAAGTGAGAAATTAATGGGTTTTGGTAACTTAAAAGTCAGGTCACACAGCTACAGTAGAAGAGCTAGAACTAGTACCCAAGTTATTTAACTCGTTAGTCTACTACCACTACCATTTTTACTTGAACTTGTAACTATAGTAAATAATTAAACATTCTGCATACTCACAAATATACGGGGGCCCTCTCTTTTGCTCCCCAATTCAGGACCATGTCTGGGGAGCAGCTCCTTGTCCTGATTAGTCTCAGGTTGTTACCCAACTCAAGAGCTAGTCAAATACTTGGTCTTCCAATATCTCTGGAGGGAGCCTATTGTTACGTTTACTAGTTGTTTTTCACTTCATTTGGAATTATTTTTAAACTGTTCAGGAATATGAAAGTAGTGAAGAAAACTCTTTTGTGAGTGGTAAAATACTTGGAATACCCCTGAAACAGACTCTCCACTTGCTGGCATGAATAAAGATCACCATTTACATTATTAGGAGATCAACTCTGTTACTGCAATAATATTCTGTGATAGTCAGCATATGTTAACAAAAAAAACCTCTGAAGGTGACACAATCCTGGTGTTTACAAAGTACCATGTTAAATCTGTAACAAAAAAAAAAAAAAAACAACAACCTTAAAATAGACGAAGAATAATTAAAGATTTTTTAAAAGCTACTAAGCAGCCATATATCAAAATTAGGTTACACACCTAGCTTGGGCCTGTTTTACTCCTCTTCTAAAAAGAGAAAGTAGAAAGTTACCTTCTGATTGGAAACATAAAGGAAGGCTATTAGTCTCTCAACAGCATAAAGCCATACAGAGCTCTTCATTCTGTTTCTCCTGCATGGGAGGACGGAAACAGATGCTCAGAAAAGGGAAATTAAAAAGTAAAACAAACTAAGTCTCCTAGTTTGGGCTCAAAGGCTTCTTGCTAGGACAAAGAAGCCAGAATTGAGATATAAAGAAGATTAAAATGACTCTGATGTGAAGCATCTGGAACCCTAGAAAGATGTTTACCACACAGAAAAAAGTTTTAACTGAAACTGGAGAAGCAACTGGAGAAGCAAAGTATAAATAAGAACAGGAATAAAATATGTATGGAATCATCAGAACTAGGAAACTATGAACTATATTTGAAAATATATATGATAGAATTAATGCAATTATGTAATAAACCATGTGTAATAATACTTCACCTTAATATATTTTTAAGTACAAATATTTAAGTAACTGAAATGTACATAAGTGAATATAAAGAATAAGGGATGCAGAATGGTGGTGGAGTAATAGATTGTATGTGATTTTTGATATTCCTTAATACTGTTACACTGTCTAATAAAAATGGGGATAAGGAGGCAAGTAATATGGTTTACTCAAAATGTCCTATTCTGTTTGGTTATTTTTATAAATAGCTTATCTATAATAAAATCCTTATAAGTCTCAAGAGAAGCCTAGATTTCCTAAACCAGAAGAATATAAAATAAGCTAATCATGCTGCCTGTTTAGACAAATATCCACATTTTGGGACAACGAAGATATAATACAGTTGCCTTGATGGCTCAAACTGTAAAATGAGCTTAAAATACAGCAATAAGCATCATGGTTAGACAGCTTCACCAGCTGTACAAAATGTACAAAATCACCCATACCAACATTAACACAAAAAGGCATCAGTGACTAAAATATGCCTTAAATGAATGAAAGCACAAATCTGAATACTAAATATTAATTATAATTCTACCTAAGCCTTTTTATTAAATCTAAGAAACAAATCACATTTTTCTTTACTCTTCAAAAGTAAAAATCACAATGACTCAAAATTTATATCATAACTATCAAGTTTCATATATAGAAGTGGGACACTGTGTAAGCACCTTAACATATTTTATACAACATTCAGTGCCAAACGAGGAGTAAAGGTTTGAGAATTAAAAAATAAAGCTCAAAACCTATTAAAAGGAATCATTTTACTTTCAATATAACAAAAATAAAACATAAAATACAGTAAAGAAATGTGTAGAATCTAGGTTTAAAAAAAAAACAAAAAGCAACTACACAACTTTCCTTGAAGAAAACAGACATAAATAAATATTTTTTCAAGGAATCATATTAACATAGAAATACACAAGGCAAGGCATTTATTATCCTCTATAAACACTAAAATCTTTTGGTCAAATTCTAAAAAAATTTGAGAATTACATTAGTTTGGGGAGAAATAACAATTCTAATTTTTAAATGGGATTACTTACAACCAAGAAAAATTTGAAAAATAATCATGGATATTTGCCAAGCTGGATAATAAAGTTTATTATAAAACTACACAATTATAGTATAAGAACAGATAAGGCACATCAATGGAAAATATGCGTCCAGGAAGAAACCGAAGCATGTAAAAGAATTTTAGCAGATACATTTAAACAAAAAACTTTAAGCTATATGGAGAAAAACAGAAACTTACTTCAGAAAATACAACAAATTAAGTAACAGTTTAAAGACTGAAAAAGGATAAGTCATTCTTAAAAACTGATGGTTCTGACAAATAAAATTTATGTAATAAAAATTTTAAAAGAAACAATTATGAATATTTACAACAAATGTTAGAGTTAACATACAGCTATAATATAAATACAACTAAATACATAGCTATAATATAAATACAACTATAAAGTTCATATACATCATTAGAAAAAGATAAACACCCCAGCAGAAAAAACAGGCAAAAAATATTAACTGGGAAAAAAAGGTGTAAATAACAATTACAAGAAAACAAAAAAGATCAACCTCTGTAATAATTCAAATGGAATAATTAATACAAAAATCATGATACTTTTCACCTATAAAATCGTCAGTTTTATTTTTTTAATGATAATGGCAAATGTTAATGAGGAATAAAGATAAGCATTCTCAGGCAGGGCCAGCAGTAAAGGGACAAACAGCTTAAAGTGAAACTTCTAAGGAAACATGGATGTGCTCAGAGAATAACCTCAATGTTAAACAAAATTAGTGCCAGACAGACAGATTTAAAAAACGAACAGCAGTAATTTTAAATTGCATATCAAGGAGCCATGGAAGTTTTTCTATGGCCGCCTGGGGAAGGAAGTTGGAGGGAATGGAAGTAGGGATGAATACGCCAAATGGGTAGAGCTGCACTCAAACACCCACCCTTTTTTGTATTCTAGTATGTTTGGATTCCATAAGAGTTTTCATTATAATAAAGTAGGTTATTGACTTTTTGTGTTTTTAAAGTTTGAAAACCTCTGCTAAAATACTTAGTAACACTGGAAAATTTCAGTTTTATTGAACAAAAGAGGTCATGAACGTCTACGTATAATATGCCACATTACTAAAAAAAAAATAGTGGTATATGTATACACATATATCTAGAAAAGATTGAAAGGACTGAAGTCTTTATATCTTAATAATGGCCTTCTTTAACTGTTAGGATTAGAGTGGTTTTTGTGGACTTATCTATATAAAAATTTTGAACATATCTAACCACTCATTTTCAAAAATACCTAACATGGATAATTTTACTGGGAAACTTACCTTTTTGAGCTTTAGCTGTTATTTCAAAATATTTCACAGTAAGATCTTGAATAGAAAGCACAGCCATGTGAGCTTTTCGCTGCCAATCGGCATCTTCTTTTTGTAGACTCTCAATTCTTCGGGGACCCAGATAATCATTCTCCATGGAAATCTTTAGAGAGAAGAAATAAAAACTAAGTTTATTTATTTTATTTATTCCTCAAACATTTACTGCATCTTTAGGTGTCAGGCATTGTCCTTGGTACCAAAATAGACAAAAAAAAACCAAACAAACCCCAAAAACCAAACGTGTGGCCATCAAGTTGATTCCGACTCATAGCAACCCTATAGGACAGAGTAGAACTTCCCATAGCGTTTCCAAGGAGCGTCTGGTGGATTCAAACTGCTGATCTTTTGGTTAGCAGCCGTAGCTCTTAACCACTATGTCACCAGGATTTCCAAAATAGACAAAGGTAATACTTATTCTTCCCTGCTGGAGAGGAGATCTTTGTCTACCAAGTCATTAAATTTTACAAAACAAGTGAATTAACCATGATGTTGAAGATATCTAACATACAAATCTGTTCATATACATTATGTGAAAAACCAAACTGCAAAATAGTTTTCTCCTTCTCTTACTTCCATCCTTCCCTTCCCTTGTTATATACATAATATCTATATATATAAAATTTCAAGCTGGATTCAGAAGAGGAAATGGAACAAGGGATATCACTGCTGATGTCCGATGAATCCTGGCTAAAAGCAGAGAATACCAAAAAGATGTTAATCTGTGTTTTATTGACTATGCAAAGGTATTCAACTGTGTGGATCATAAAAATTGTAGATAACTTGTGAAAAATGGGAATTCCAGAGCACTTAATTGTGCTCATGAGGAACGTGTACAAAGATCAAGGGGATACTGCGTGGTTTAAAGTCAGCCAAGGTTTGTGTCAGGGTTGCATCCTTCTACCATATTTATTCAATCTGTATGCTAAGTAAATAATCCGAGAAGCTGGACTATATGAATCATTAATGACTGAAGACCAGACAGGTTGTGGGATGACATCAAGGACATCATACATGAAGAAAGCAAAAGGTCATTAAAAAGGAAAGAAAGAAAAGACTAAAATGGATGTCAGATGAGACTCTGAAGCTTGCTCTTGAACATAGAGAAGCTAAAGGAAATGGAAGAAGTGATGATGTAAATAGCTGACAGATGATTTCAAAAGGCGGTTTGAGAAGACAAAGTAAAGTATTATAATGACATGTGCAAATACCTGGAGTTGAAAAACAAAAAGGAAAGAACACTCTTGGCATTTCTCAAGCTGAAAGAACTGAAGAAACAATTCAAGCCTCAAGTTTGCAGTACTGGAAGATTCTATGGGCAAAATATCGAAGGAGGCAGGAAGCATCAAAAGAAGATGGAAGGAATACACAGAACCACTGTACCAAAAAGAACTGAGTGAAGTTCAACCATTTCAAGAGGTAGCATATGATCAAGAACCAATGGTATTAAAGGATGAAATCCAAACTGCAATGAACGCATTGGTGAAAAACAAGGCTCCAGGAATCGACGGAATACCAGTTGAGATGTTCCAACAAACAGACGCAGCGCTGGAGGTACTCTTTCATCGATGCTAAGAAATTTGGAAGACAGCTACTTGGCCAACCAACTGTAAGAGATCCACATTCGTGCCTATTCCAAAGAAAGGTAATCCAACAGAATGTGGAAATTATCGAACAATACCATTAATATCACATGCAAATAAAATTTTGCTGAAGATCATTCAGAAACGGCTGCAACAGTACTTTCTACAGGGAACTGCCAGGAATTCAAGCTGTATTCAGACATCACTGCTGTTGTCAGATGGATCTTGACTGAAAGCAGAAAATACCAGAAAGATGTTTACCTGTGTTTTATTGATTATGCAAAGGCATTCGACTGTGTGGATCATAACAAATTACGGACAACACTGCAAAGAACAGGAATTCTAGAACACCTAATTGTGCTCATGCAGAACCTGTATATAGATGAAGAAGCAGTCATTCGAGCAGAACAAGGGGATACTGAGCGGTTCAAAATCAGAACAGGGGTGAGTTAGGGTTGTATCTTTTCACCATACTTAATTCAATCTGCATGCTGAGCAAATAATCCGAGAAGCTAGATTATATGAAGAAGAATAGGGCATCAAAATTGGAGGAAGACTCATTAGCAACCTGTGATATGCAGATGGCCCAAACTGCTTGCTGATAGTGAAGAGGATATGCAGCACTTACTGATGAAGAACAAAGACCACAGCCTTCTGTATGGATTACATCTTAACATAAAGAAAACAAAAATCCTCACAACTGGACCAATAAGCAGCATCATGAAAAATGGAGAAAATACTGAAGTTATCCAGGATTTCATTTTACTTGGATCCACAATCAACACCCATGGAAGCAGCAGTCAAAAAATCAAATGACGTATTACACTGGGCAAATCTGCTGCAAAAGATGTCTTTAAAGTGGTGAAAGGCAAAGATTTCACTTTGAGGACTAAGGTGCGCCTGATCCAAGCCATGGTGTTTTCAATTGCCTCATATGCTTGCGAAAGCTGGACAATAAATAAGGAAGCCTGAAGAAGAACTGATGCCTTTGAATTATGGTGTTGGTGATGAATACTGAATATACCGCAGACTGCCAGAAGAATGAACAAATTTGTCTTGGAAGAAGTACAGTCAGAGTGCTCCCTGGAAGGGAAGATGGCGAGACTTTTTTCTCACGTACTTTGGTCACATTATTAGGAGGGACCAATCCCTGGAGAAGGACATCATGCTTGGTAAGGTTGAGGGTCAGCGAAAAAGAGGAAGATCCTCGACAAAATGGACTGACACAATGGCTGCAATATTAGGCTCAAATATAGCAATGATTGTGAGGATGGCACAGGACTGGGCACTGTTTCATTCTGTTGTACACTGGGTCGCTATGAGTCATAACTGACTCGACAGTACCTACCAACAACAACAAAATATTTATACAAACATATATTCAAAGTATATATACTGAAATGGTAAAACTGATTATTTTGAGGTACAGAAATAATAAGAAATTTGTTTCCTCCTTTATGATAAGTATTATTCAAGGTTAACAATTATTTGTGCCAACAGAATACTTACTTAATAACTGATATAAAAGAAAACAATAGAAAACTTGTAAAATTGATAGTATATAAAAATCAGACCATCTGCATACTAAATTATTCTGGATAAAAATAACAGAAAAAAAACTAGCTATGTATTGTTTAGAATTCACAACCAAAACAGAGGACAAAGGAAAGTTGAAAATCAAATAATAGGGGGAAGTGACATCAGTGGAGTAAGAAGCTCCATGCTCTCATCCCTCCAAAGAAACATCAAAAACTAGCAGAAACTCTTAGAATTAACTTGTTCAGAACTCTGGAAAACAATCAAAGGTTTACAAAAACCATGAGAACGCTGAATCAAGAAAAGGCAACTTAAAACAGTAGGAAACTACTGTGGCTTCTTTACTTTCCCATACCCCAATCTTTCCCTGGTTCGGCAGCCAACTTGAAGACAGTAGTTCATGTTTCCAACACGGGACCCTGGTTCCTGGTTCCGCAGGAAGCAGAGCAGACCTTATCCACAAATTATTGGGTTTCTCTGTTCTAATCTGTGAGAGGGCTAACTAAGAAAAGCAAAGCTCTTGTCTTTGCTTCATTCATCTTGGATCTCATGCAAGGCAGGAAAAGTGACAGGCATTGCCTAAAACACTGTAGCCACCTGGAGCAAGAGTGCAATTGAGACATACAACAGACTTCCTAAGGGCTAAAGGCAAAGCCTGGGACAGAGCTTCCTTGGGAAATTAGGGACATTCAAAAGAACGTGTATACACAGGAGAATTATGAAAGTTACACAAACGTCTTGGGTAAGATGCATGCTCAGAAAACAGCCAAGAAAACCCTAAGCTTTAACCTTGGGCTGATCTCTAGAGACAATATAAGCCTGGTTAAGCACTGAAGGAGTGCCCTATACACAGCCAATCTGCAAAGCCTGGGAGAAGTGTTTTTTTTCCTACTGTTGGTTTTGTTTTTATTTTTTCTTTCTGTTTTAAATTTTAACTCTTGATATTCAAAGAAATCTCTCAAAATACTAGCTGAACAAGCTAAAGGAGACTTCAGGGACCATACATGCCAAGGAATACAAACTTTATTAAAAGTCACTAAACCTGTGGCCTACTACGATCTTCAACTATCAAAAAAAAGGGGGGGGGAGCAAACCCTGAGAAAAAGCCTATTTCTACAGTTACTACATTTTAATATTCAAGTGTCCCATTTTCAACAAAAAAATTACAAGGCATATAGAGAAACAGGAAAGCATGGTCTATTTAAAGGAACAAAATTAAACAACAGAAACCATGCCTGAATAAACCCAGATATTGGACATACTAGACAAAGAGATTAAAAAATCGTCTTAAATATGCTCATAGCTAAAGGAAAACATGAGCAAAGAACTAAAGGAAACCAGGGAAATGATGTACGAACAAAAGGAGGATATTAAGAGACAGAAATTATAAAAAGGAATTAAATAAAAATTCTGGAGCTTAGAAGTACAGTAAATGAAATGGAAATTACATTAGGGGGTTCAAGAGCAGACATGAGCAGGCACAGGAAAGAATCAGCAACCTTGAAGAGACCGAAGAGCAGAAAGGAAAAAATTTAAAAAAGTGAATAGAGTTAAAGGGACCTGTAGGACACCATCAAGCAGACCAACTTACACATTACAGGAGTCCCAGAAGGAGAGAGAGAAAGTAGAATAAAGAGTATTTGAAAAATAATGGCTAAAAGCTTTCCAATTTGATGAAAGACATGAATCTGCACATCCAAGATGCTCAAGGAACTCCAAGTAGGGTAAACTCTAAGAGAGCCACATCAAGACACTTTATAATCAAACTGTCAAAAGCCAAAGACAGAGAATCTTGTAAGCAGCAAGAGAAAAAGCAACTCATCTAGTACAATGGATCTTCAATAAGATTAACAACCACAGAGACCAGAAAACAGTGGAAAAATGTATTTAAAATGCTGAAAAAGGAACTGTAACAAAGAATTCTATATCTTACAAAATTGTCTTTCAAAAATGAGGGAGAAATTAAGGCATTCCTATACAGACAAAA